GCGTAAGAGTTAGCGTAATTTTGTGCCTCTTGTGAAAAACGGTCCGCTCCTCAAATTTACCTAGAAAATTCGCGATTTCGAAGTCATCCTCTGTAGTTAGTTGAAAAATCATTCTGATCACCAAAACTCATGAAATATCGGTAAGGATTTTCGACGCAATAGCCACGAAGGGGTCTAAATCAAATCCCACTTATTAACACTCCTGAGCATGCAGAGTCTTTCCGATATAGCGCCACTTCTTCAGTACAACTATGCTGAAGACAGTGACGTTCGGATGCGAAACATGGTTACTGACGAAAGTGGAAGAGCGAGTTTTGTCCGTGATGAGACAGCAATGGACAAAAGGGTACTTGCCGTGTCACTTCAACAGTCTTTAAATGAGCAGCAGCAGGATGTTATTGTGATTAAGCAAAGAATAAAACCTAATGGGCAAGGCATTTTGCTCGGCCTACCGACAACGTTGGGCTGTACTCTTTAGTTACAGCACCTCGAAAAAGCAAACGATTGCTTCAGCAGGCCTTAAAGGAACGATGCACGTACATGTAACAGGTGACTGCAGTCAAGGATAGGAGAATCTGGCACAGCTGCGCTTAACGTGTAGAAGCCTTCCAGTAGCATAATTAATACGGGTACCAAAAATAGCGTTTGTACGGGTGGTCTTGGATCTTAGTACTCTTGGCAATTTATGTATTCAAACAAACACTTCTGGCACAATTTTCAAGAATGCATTGAGAATGCGTTATTACCTCTTCAGCAGTTCCTCCGAAAAAAACACTTTTTTTTTCCTCTTCTATCAGTAGATTCAGCGATCTCCCACTAAGGTTCACGATGGTTGGCCAAAATGATGTTAACCCATTAAAGTAATACACTCCACCCTCAAAAATGGGTAATTTAATAAATTCAACAGCTCCTGACCAAATTTGATCCTGTGAAATAGCTTGACCACGGTGACACTGTTTAATATCAACATAAGTAGTTCCAATACCGTACATGCGCAAGTCCACACAAAGCTAAGTTTTGGCGCATAGGCTAATGTCGGATTGCATGATTTCACAACCTGAAATTTAGTTCTTCTTGCCTCCGATCTTCGGCTTTTTTAGTTGCTTTGACCAATAACGCGTCATCTGGTGGCCATTTCTTCGATGATCCTTCCATTCTTCTCGTTCGCTAAAGGGATTTCTTGTTCTATTTGATGAACCTTAGATGTCGCGAGATTTGCTTGCTTCGCTCTGAGACCAACAACTTTGTTCCGAAAACTGACACTCCTAGACCAAGATGAGGAGCCTTATTGATTAAGGATGCTAAGACTAAGGTGTGGCAGTTTATTTGTATTTGAGATGCTAATGAATTCTAAAAACCAAACATTAAGTTAATTGAAAATTAATCAAAGTTAGACTACTGGAAATTAGTCTAAGCTAACACTAATCAAACTTGAACATTTGCAACACTCCAGTTTTCAGGATACTTCCTTGCAAACACAATAGATCAAACAAATTTGAAAGAAATTCGCATAAAATCCTTGATATGTCAGTTTATTTAACGTGCCGACATTTCAGCACCACGTGTGGGCGTTGCTAAACAGTCAAGCAATATTTTGCTCGACTTTCAAAAATGTGAAACATAGAAAAATTTGGTACCTCATTATCCACCAAAAACGCATTGACAACGATGAATGGAATTGAAAAAGCACTCGCTAAAACTAGCACTCCAATTACACAGTATTTATTGTGCATTGCTTTAAGTCTGCAAACATGTCTTTTTTTTTCTTGAATCAAACAGATACCTGCGAACACACAATTGCGATTCATAGTATCGTTCTGCAACTATGCAGGGGATCGAACCGCCCCTCTTCACATTCGGACACAGCAGTGCTAAACCACTGCATCACCGAACTATTGTGTATTACTACAGCACTTGTATTTTGTATATGTGCCACTCGTATACACATCCTCTAACTGTTAATGATGCTCCCACAAGTAGTGCGCATTGTTCGAATACACTCCGGCTTTTCGCTAGACATCCATGACACGTGGCGTTTGATGCGTCTCGTGAAGAAATTACTAGCCCAAGCTTTCTCCGCACACCTCCACAGTTTGCTCTCTATGAGAGGCAGAAGGACTCAGGAAGTAATCTGAATGTTCGTACGTATAGCAGCAATAACCAAATCCTTGCAAAGGCTATCGATAGCTCTTTCTTTCCGATGGTTGCTAGAGAGGTAAGGTGGTAGTGATCAGAAATTCCTT